CCAGTACTATGGTCCTGAGGTAGTAGCTCTGTTGGATCTCTCTCCCATAGTGTCGGAATGTCTGTGAGGGATTACTCTGTGTCTGTCTTCTATTGTTTCTGTAAGGACTGCAGGTATTTTGTATCACTGGTGTCTGTACAAGATTAGCCTCAGCTGAGTCTATCCTTGGTCTAGCGTATACCTCTATTCGCTGACCCCTGTCTGATCATCTCAGATGTTTATGTGTTTATCTGTATAGCCTAGTGTTTGGTGTTAATGGCATTGTGGTATTTTGGACACATTGGTTGGTTTTAGCATCTGTAGTCTATCTCTTATGTGCACAGTTTGGTGTTGTTTCTGGGATCTTTGGTGAATCCCCTGGGAGTATGTAGTTCAGGGTTCAACCAAAGATTTGAGGGGCTTCTCCCTTTCTGGCTTTCCCTTGTTTGGGATTTTCTTTTTAATTTCTGCTTCTTCTAGTAGTTCCAAGCTCTGTCCTCTGACTCCTCAAGCCAATATGACTGTGGCCTTCTGCTTGAGTTCTTGCTGCCCAGTGCCAGCTGGGCCTTCACGGAGAAAGCCATTTAAACACAAATCTTCTTCATTATAGTTCTTTTCTTTCAAGGATTGACTGCCCTACATTTCATCCTTCAGTGGCTTTAAATAATTGTTTTAAATATTTTGTCAAGTGTTTATAATGTCAGTCCAATACAAGCTACTTTGTTGTCACCAAAGCTGGGATTCTACTGAAAAATTTTAAGCAGGAGAGTGATGTGACTAGACTTACATTTTAAGAAGGTCATTTTAACAGGTGTGGTGAGACCCATAGTAGGGGGACAAAAATATAAGTAGGAAGACAAATTAAGGCTATTCTTAGTGTCTAGCCACGTGTTGGCAGAGGACACTGGTCAGGACAAGCAATGAGTTTGAGATCTATTTTTGGCAAGATTTGGTGATGAGTTGTGGAGATGAGAAAAAAGAAGTTTCATTTTGGATTTGTTAGGTGTTAAGATGGCAAAAAGATAAACAATTTTCACACATACAGATGAATTTATAAATATGGAGGTCAGGGGAGAGCTCTAATTTAGTAAGTCTGGCTGCTAGAATTTAAGTGAGATGTTCATATGAGGAGGGAAGGAATGCTACCTAGGGATTAAGAGCTAACAAAAGTTAGTTAGATTGGATGAAGCTTTCTGAATTCTAGGTGAGGCTGCTGGATAGGAGAGATGAGAAGCCAGCAAAGTAAGTCTACTTGTAATTGAGGTGTTCTGCAGGAATCAATTATGGCTGCTTTTCCTCCTGAATACAGGGTTACAAGGAAGAGAAGACTGAAGGAGAATGTTGTGGGAGATGTCTGCCTATGGCTTGTACCATTCAGCTAAGAGGAGGACAAGTCATGACTCTGCAGGTGGGAACAAGCTGAACTCAAGAGTTCCTCTACATATCACCAGTCTGGCATCTTATTTTAGGATTTTTTTTTTTTTTTCAAGGAAGGTCTTAAACTTGGCTTAATACAGGCTTTTTCTACCTTTTTTTTTTTCTTTTCTTATAGAAGGCCTAACCTTTTTTTCTTTGGTTTAGCTATTATGTGGTTCTTTTTAACATGTGTGTAGTTGGTATATGGCTTCATAATTTGGGGTGGGTTTAAGTTTTCTCCAGCCTTGAGAATCTATGAAACTGGACAGGAAATCAGGGTGAAACAAAGTCTGATCTATGAAAGACAGAATTAACTGGTGGGGCTGGGAGGTGGTACCCCTGGTTCATCTGTAGCTCAGTTATCAATTAGCCATTGTACTTCGCTGTGTCTCAGTTCAAATAGTCTGGGGATTCTCTACATTTATGCAGCCCTGTTCATAGTAAAGAGTCCCTGGATAGTACAAATGGTTAATATGCTGGGCTGCTAATTGAAAGGTTGGAGGTTAGAGTCCCCTTGGAGACATCTCAGAAGAAAGGCCTGGTGATCTTCTTCTGAAAAATCAGCCACTATGGAACACAGTTCTACTCTGATGCACATGGGGTCTCCATGAGGTGGTGTCAACTCCACAGCCACTGGTTAGTTCTGGCTCATAGTAAATAGGTTATAAAACTGGAACTCCACCTCCTTTATGTATTCTAGGCTTGGGGAGTTTGTGTATACTGTCTCGTTCTTGTTCCATAATCTCCCAGAGGACCAGGAGTCAAGGCCATTGTTTGAAGTGGCTTTGTAACCCAAACACAGTCTTCAAATTTTCTCTACCCACTTCCCCTCTTTCTTTTCAGCGTGATGAGACACTCCAGGATGGCTGTGATAGTCACTTCTGCAAAGTCAATGAGAGAGGAGAGTATATCTGGGAGAAAAGGATCACTGGTTGCCCGCCCTTTGATGGACACAAATGTCTGGCCGAGGGAGTAAGTAGTCAAGTTCAGGCTCAGCTTTCTTCTTCACTGCCTCAGTCTTTGACTCTATGAACAGAGTCCTTCTCTTCTCCTGAACGTCAAGAAGCCTAGCTCTACTATGATTTCCCAGTGTCCAAGGTAGGTCAGTGATTCATTTTAAGAACTGATGAAATTACAAGATCAAAGTCTGGAAGAGACATAAGACTCTCTGAAGTATATGTTGTTGTTGTTGTTATATGCCGTCGAGTCGGACCCGACTCATAGTGACCCCTCCTTGGGTTTCCAAGGCAGTATCACTACGGAAGTAGATTGCCCCATCTTCCTTCCAAGGAGTATACAGGATCTTTGAAAAGTCTTTCCCTTTGGGAAACTGAATCTAATCCTTCAGTAGAAAGATGAGAGATCATACTCATTTCTAGACTCCCATGGGAATGATGATCCTGATAACTCAATTGGGAGAGAATTTGGGATAATCAAAATTGTTTCAGCATGGCCAGGTTGGATTGTCAATCTGCTCATATCTGTGATGGGAAAGCATAGTTTGTGCTGACAACTTAAGCTCAGGGCAGTTAAGTCCAGAGCCAGGACGTGGCCCAGGATGATGTGAAAGTTGTCCTCCATGTACTATTTGTGCCTAATCTGGGACTTTACTGTTTTCTTAGGGGAAAATCATGAAAATTCCAGGTACCTGCTGTGACACATGTGAGTATATTACCAAAAGCCTATCCCCTGAAACCCATCAGACCAAATCTAGGAGCTGTTTTTTTGGAATTAGCTTTATTCCAGAAAGTTCACTTCTTATTCACAGGCCAGTTACTGTGTTCAAGTCTGTGGGAAACAGCCTCCCCTCTCTGACTGCCATCAGACTATACCCCCTGCTCAAATCCCCTTTCACATACCCATGAAGCAATTCCTTCACTGCCCTTACCTACCTTCCTCCAAACTCCTTACACTCTCTAGCCTGTTACATGCCTTTCTCCTCAAAGAACCTTCTGTTGTTCCTAGTCTTATTGTGAGAGAATGTCTTCTCTCTCCAACCTGAGTGTAGGCTCCATAAGGACAGGCATCCTTGATCCATAATGTTGAAAGGGAAAACACTCAATACACATCTGTTCATTGAGCATCATACCCTCTCTTGGAGAGAAAGAGAAGCCGTCAGTTGGTTAATAATTAACCTTACTGTGTGCTGGGGGTGCTACAGAGAACATAGAGTCCCCTCTCAGGCTCATCAGGCTGGTCAAGTTTATTAACATCCCTTCTTCACTCTTGACCTTTCCTGAAGTTGCAGTTATGTTATACTGGTTGGGTCTAATAGCTTTGGAGATGAGGCTCAACAGGTTTTCCCATTAGACAGTATTCCTACAACATATTCTTGTGTTCATGAGTACATGTAACTTTCAGAATCTCAATAATGATGCTATATTTTCTGAATATAGAATTACTTCCCTGGACTGATTTTTTCTTATTTTTAAAACTTTTTTGGTGTTGGGTTCATGGGCTAATGCTTATTTTCATGTAGGGAAGGGAAGAGTGACAACATGAATACCTTTGGTGTTCAGTTATTCATTCTTTCCTTGTTGACTTATTCTGACAGCCCCTATAATTGCTGTAATCAAATTGAGGAAATACACTCTGAAAGCATATCTTTCTATTACCCCCATCTGTATGGTTTAAGAATGTGAAGTCAGGAAACCATCAGAGAGGATGAATTCCCTCTAGGCGCACTGCACATGAAATTTGGCTAAAAGGCTGTTATCTGCAAAACCAGCAACAAGGGGCTTTTTTTGATCAGTGCATTCAGGAGGCTTTGAGACCCTTTGTAAGGAAAATAAGCCAGACTTGGGATTTAAATCTATAGAAAAAGAATATGGTACATTGGCCTAAATATATTTTTCTTCATCCGCTTAATGTACTTGGCAGGCTTTCCCATTAAAACGAAATTATTCGGAAGCTGGGAGGCAGTATAATATATAGTTAGGATTGATTTAGATTTGGAGTCAGCCAAGAATGGAAAACTCCCACTATTCAAATTAAATCTTAGAATTCTCAGCGGGGCAACTAGAGATTCAGATTTGAATGCCACCAACCCTTGTATGTAAGGAAACCCATGCCAATGATTTGGAGACAGCAATACCCAAGGAAAGTACTCCATGAAAACATCCAGGGATATTCTTGGCCCCCACAGAGGCAGTGAATGCCCTTAGATAGCCATGGCTTTTGCCTTGCTTCTTACTCGAAGGCAAGGATAGATAGATATTATATTTTTTGGCTACTTCATTGCCCATTAGTTTTTGGATGTAGCGAGAAGCTTGGGAGGATTGTCCTAGCGCTTAGGGTTTTTAGAGTCTACAATTATATAAAAGCAAATCTCATATATCTATATCACCAAAACACAGAAGCTAGATCCCTCCTTCAATTAAGATTATACCATTAAGTAAGTTAAAGCCAACAATAACTATATCTCTGAATATGAAGGAGCAGCTGAGGTGAACCAGGAGAACTTAATTCCCTTCCCTGTGGCTAGCTTTCTTTATCAGTTTACTGTGAAATTGACCTAATTCTAGCCCAGTGAGGGGGCTGGGGCTGAAGTATGTTCTACAGAACCCTAGCCAGGCCCCAAGTCCCATCTCTCACCTGTCCCATAGGTGAGGAACGCGAATGTAAAGATATCATTGCCACGCTGCAGTATGTCAAAGTGGGAAATTGTACATCCAAAGAGGAAGTGGACATTCACTACTGCCAGGTAAGAGGTCCTTGACTTCAGTGAGGCCTGAGGTGGGGTGGGCTAAGCCTCCTTGTTTGGACACATCTCTGGTTATGCTCTAAAAGGGTCTGGAGAATGAGGAACTGGAAGTACCACCCCCCCCCCCAATAAATGTTTTATTGAAGTAGTTGGAAACTTTGGACCCTAGAAGAAAAAACTAAAGAATGGCTCAATAAGGCCCATGTAGAGAATGGGATATTATTTATGAAAGATGAGGGCTATGATTCCTGAAGATCAAACATACATAGAAATTGTAGCTGGAGGGATTTGTGTGGGGTATTACCATGTTGTTGTTGTTAGTTGCTGTTAAGTCAGTTCAGACTCACTGTGACCTCTTGGTCCATAGCACTTTCAAGGCTGTGCTTTTAGAAGCAAATAGCCAGGCTTATCTTCTGAGGTGCCTCTGGGTAGTTTTGAGCATGCACCATCCAAGGACTCCAGATCTTACCGTAAGGGCAGATAAACATAGAGTGAAAGCAAATTTTGGAAGGCCCTAAGATTTACCTTTACATGTTGCCCATCTCTCCTGGGTTTCTCTGTATGAGGCAAGGCCTGCCTTGCCTGGAGGTGGTTGGTAGGAATCTGGCTTCCCTAGAGCCCTCCACACAGAGAATTCTTGTCATTGTGATGCCCGCCTCTCTCTGCTCTGTTGCAGGGTAAATGCAGCAGCAAAGCCGTGTACTCCATTGACACCGAGGATGTACAGGACCAGTGTTCCTGCTGCTCACCGGCACAGACTGAGCCCGTACAGGTGCCCCTGCACTGCCCCAATGGCTCCGTCGTGTACCATGATGTCATCAATGCCATGCAGTGCAAGTGTTCCCCCAGGAAGTGCAGCAAGTGAGGCCAGGCAGCTGGTGCCACCTTGGCTGGACCAGCTAGTGGCCACCATCCTGTTCAGTCCTCTGTATGTGTTGCTCTTGTGCCCTGCTGAGCCCACAATAAAGGCCACTCTCTCATCTCACAAAAGACTCATGTTGGTTCATTGCATCCTATGGGGCTGAGCCAGCAATTGTAGGCTGAGAGGAAGCTGGAAGGAAGGCACCCTCCAGCCCTAGTGTCTGTGGGCTGGCATGGCTGAGTTCTGGGAAGAAGTGATGTCTTTCCTCTATTTTTGTTTGTTCGTTTGTATTTAGTGTCTCAGGGGATGGAGAAGGAATAGTGTGGAGCATATCTCCTCAGGAAACAGCCTCGTGGCCTGAAATAAAAGGGACTGGCTCAGGAACAACAGGTTATCCAGTCTGTGAATCCAGGGGCTTCTGAGCAGCAGGGTAGACCTAGGAGCTCAGCTCCTGACAGAATAGATACGGTCATGGTCAGTGTGAATGGCTTCATGGAGAAAATGATGAGATACGCAAGGATTTTTCTGAGAATTGACTGACAAATTCTTGTGTCTCTTCAGTGGCTCTGGTGGGACTTGTGGGGAGAAGGGTGAGGACTGAGGGAGACTTGGAAATGGAGTGATGGCAGGGGCAGGAATGTGGACCCACACAGACCCAGCCATGGTACGGTGAGCCCCAGACTTGGGGGCAGACTGATTTCCACACTGGCCTTTGCTTAACTATGTGACCTGAAACAAGGTTCTTAGTGGTTCCAACACTTCGTTTCCTCATCTGGAAAACAAGAATGTTAGTCTCACTCATGTTTTTTCTTTCTTTGTTTTTGTTAAACTGGTATTTATTGGCCACTTAACAGGGGCCAGGCACTGGTAGACATTTACAGACATGATTTCACTTACTCTTCACAACAAACCATGTGGTCACTCATAAGGTTTTGAGGATAATATAAAACCTTTGCATCCTATGAGGCCAGAAGTCCTTTGGAAATGGTAAATTGCTCTATAAATGTAGAAGTGATAAGATTAAAAATGGGGAAATCAAGGCTCAGATGGGTAGTTAAGTGATTCTAAAGCTATGGCCAGAGCATTCAAGATTTCCTTCATCCTGAGGGGTAGAAAGGCCAAGTTAACCAGCTTTATATTGGATGCCAAAGCCTACCAACCCCAGACATTCTTCAGTGAGTATGCAAGAGGTATGGATAACACCAAACATCATCTAGTCCTCAAATCACTAACTGGTACTGTTACTCTCAACTAGAGATTTTCCTTCCTTAAAATTTATGAAAAATATTTATACGTGCATGCTGGCAAGATGGTGGAGACTCATAGTATGGGAGAGAGCACCGATGGGAATGAAGGGAATGTTGTGGATGGTGCTATAAGAGTTTGATGGAGATTTTCATTCCAATTCTACTAACACAGGAGAGATTCACCTTATTGAAAGTATTGGATGATGGAGCTGGAAAGGATTTAGACATCATTTAATCCACTGCCCATCTATCCCCCACCACTTTATAGATGAGCTCAGAGAACCCAAGTGACTTGATGGGGTCACACAGCTGCTGTATTACAGGGCCAGGTTCAGAACCCAGTTAGGTGCTTGACTCCGAGGCCAGAATTCCCAGGCCATTCTAGCATAGCTGCATGATGATCCTTGTTGCTTATAGATTGTTTCCTTGCTATCACAGAACCCGGTGACTACTGCATTTCTAGGTCTCACCCATTACTATTACTCTCTGGGATTAAGCCCAAGAGAAGATACAGGAAAATGGCATGGATTATATTGAGTAGATTTGGTGCAGAGTTTAGAGGGGGGTAGAGTGAAGAAAGAACAGATAGAAGTTTTATATAACTGCTCAATAATTCAGTGCTTGTCATCTCTCCATCCATCATCCTGCCCCCAACTTTGAGTAGCCTCTAAGATCTCTGCAGGCAGAAACCAGATCCAGAGACAGGGAATTAACTATCGCTCTTCTGAATGATCGCCTAACACTCTACCTGGGGACAAGGTGTTATCAGAGGCAAAGGCCACAGAGGAACTCAGCAGGGAGGCTACCTCTTCAACATGAATTATCAATTTTCCAGTGGCCTGTACCTAGATGCCTGACTTTCTCCTCTTATTTTCTGATTTTATTGTCAAGAAAACAAGCCAATTCCAGCCAAACAAAAGACAGGCATATGAGTTGAACATTTACTTGAGGTAGACACACTCCTTGGAGAGAACAATCATGGGAGAAAGAAGGGCCGTTTATGCACAGGGGGCAGGAGTGCATGGAGGGATGGACACAGGGAAGAGGTAACTATCGGGAGGAAGTGGGAAGGGGAGCTGTTGCATTGGGGTAAATAGTAGTCAATGTCATGAGACAAAGTATATGTGAACTGCTGTATGGAAAGTGAATTTGCTCTGTAAATTTTCACCCAGATCACACACATACACACACAAACACACACACACACACAAAGCCAAATCAAGAAAATGGCATGTTTTGGTTAAAAAGAAATTGGGAGGGAGCAAAAAAAGATGTAGAAAGAGAATCTGGTGGGGAGGTTTGTCTTAGCAGCCTTCTTTTACTTTAGAGCTATTCCAAGCACAAACCACCTCTGGTCTCTGGGACCTTCATTTTCACTCTCCCTCAGACCAGATGAGACAGAGTTCTCCAAAGTAAGTGTTTGAGGGGGTATCTGAGGTAGGGAGTACACAGGGACTGAGAAAGTGTTGGGTAGAGACAAAAAAATGGAATGGATGAAGGCACCATGGTAGAAATTTTGAAAAGATGTGGAAATTGGAAAGACATGGAGAAAAGTCCCTGGAAATGAATGGGGGAACAGGCATTGTTTGAGAGAGAAAGAGACATATGGCAAAGAGTTTGGAGCACAGACCTGGAGCAGGCTACCTGCTTTGGGATCCTGGCTCTCCTTCTTAGAGGCAGGTTACTAGGTCTTCTACATTGCAGTCTTCTTATCTGTAAAATGGGCACACTAGCAGTAATTACCTCTTAGAATGATTGTTAGGATAACAATTATTAGGGTAAATTACTAGTAATTATTAGGATAAAGCACTAAGAAGAGTGCTTGATGAAGAGCAAGTCCTGTCTAAACATTAATCATTCTTGCTCTTAATAGCTAGACTAAAGCTCTGGATTGGGGCAGAATACTTGTGATTTTCCTTCTGGCTCTGCCCTTGACTCATTCTTTGATATCATACACTTACTCCCTTTTACTGCCTCAAGTTCTTCATCTACAAAATGGGGAGAAATCATTTGCAGACCACCATATTGGTACAGGAGATACAATTTTCCCAACTTAAAGGTCAGTAATCATAACAGTATGAGTATGACCTTCACATAATACTTTTTCATTTCCTGTTTCCTGGGTATTAATGAACTTATTTAACTTCAGGGTACCTTGGAATTGTCGATTCCAGCATCCAGACTGGGCCTTTGGATGTCTTCTCTTCCATCTGCCTCTAGCTAGGTAGCTAAACGGTTCCAGAGAGACAGTGCTCCTCCTTCTCCAGGGATGGAGTTTGCTTTAACAACTTCCTCAACCCTCCTTAACCTCACTCCATGGTCTCATTGGGAAGCTGTTACAGTACCTCCCCATCCCCCTGCTTTTGGGGTCCCTCTTTTAAGCCCTACCTGCCTTTGGTGTACCTACTCCCAACTCCAGCTCCTGCTTGTTTTATCCAGGGAAAGGTGAGGGCAGCTGGTGGTGAAGGGAAGTGAAGGCAGGTGTAGGGGGGAGGCTATCCCTTCTTTGCTGGCTGACAAGAGCCAGACGGCTCACAAGATGATCCGATTGAAATTTTCACGCGCGAGCTGGGCTGTGAGGCGCGTCCGGGGTCGAAGAGAGCAGGTCCCACGTCTTCTCGCCCCTCAGCTCCATTAAGCAGAACTTGACCTGGCCTTGACCCGACCGCGGGAACGCGTTTGTATCTCGACGCCCCGCTGCCAGCGCCAGTGCCCCCAGTGTGCAGGCAGGAGAGCCTGGGGCTGGTGGACTGGGCAGCGATGGGGGAGGAGGAGACTGCAGGCGAGGGGCGGGCGCGGCAGACAGAGCTGAGCCGCGATGGAATTAGCCCCGCGGCGGAATAAGCCTGTCCAGACGCGAACGCAGCCGCGGGCGAGTCCGGGTTTCACGTCCCGTTTGGCCGCGCCATGGCCACCCCGGCGCTGCGCGGTGAGTCTTCCCTGCCAGGGGACTTTAGTATCTGGCAAGTTGTAGGAGGAAGAGGGGCTGACGGTGAAGGAGACTCATCCTTAACTCGTGCCTTTCTGAATTGGTGACTCCAAGTATACCTGGAGAAGTTGGTGCGGGGAGCTGACCTATTGTCACTGATTCCCCCCTTTTTCCCCCAGGGAAGAAAGCTGAGGGGCGCCTTAGCAATTTCCGAGACTGTTTTTAGGCACATGGAGAGGCAGAGGATAGGTGCAGCTACTTTTTGGTGGAGGATTACCAAATCCTACCCCAGTGATTTTGTCTCTTCTGGTTACAAGTCCTTGAATTAGTTTACAATCTGTCTGAGGTAAGCAAACAGCCTGTTTAATTAAGAGTCTGCTGAGAGGTTCACTTTCATCCCCAGTAAATTGGACTTTAGCATCCTTGGATTAAGGAGCTCTGGTATTTGAATGCAAACCGGAATGTTGGTGGTTCAAACACATCAGCCACTCCGGGCAAGGAAGATGGGAGCTGTCTACTTCCCTAAAGATTTACTAACTCGGAAATCCAGTGGGAGTATCTATAGTCCAATTTAACTCCATGGCAGTGAGTTTGGTTTGGTTTGGCATCCCTGGACTGTCCTCACAGTTTCAGAAAGTCCTTTCCCAAACCTACCCTGAAATCAGCCATTCACGTACAGGACACACAAATATGCCTTCCCTCCAGCTTTTCTTAGATGAAAAGCATATTGAGGAGGAGTGTGAAAGGAAGATATTCTGCTGCACCTCCCATATTATACTGAGTAGACATGTGTTTGGGCAGGGTTGACTTTGCTTGGGAGAGAGATTTTGTTGGATATCTTGTTTCTGGTGATTCTTGGGAGAAGTATGAAGTGGGGAGGTTCCCACTCCTTGGCATGAAAAGGAGCCCTGGTGGAACAATACTTAGTAGTTTGGCTGAAAGGTGGATGGTTG